AGCTGCTTTACATGTTGTTTGTTCTGCGAGAACTTTTTGTACAAGGAAGTTAACAGAGGCTGCATAACATACATTTTTTGCGACCCTTGTAGACTTTCATGGCCTAAGTGCGCTTTGAGAAAGTTCTTTACGAATGCTTTTGTGGAGAAACTTTAGTCTAGTAGATCTGAATATTGATGAAGCATTTTAGCAGTGACGGCAATTTGTGCGTAAATGTTACACATACAACAATTTTCAAGTTTGCGCCCTTCGCGCATTGTGACGTAAAAGTGTTGTCGGCGACGTAGCCGCACATACTGAGGAAGATATTCATTATATTCGACCCTAATGCAAATGAGAAAAAACTCCTATTTTATCACTCCCGCTCATGAAACAAAGAAGTACCTTTCGCTGTGGCAGCTGTTCACGTGTCTATACCATAATTTTAGTATGGGACTTCAAATTACCTTTTTCTCATAACTCTCCCCCCCCCCACCTTCCCCTTCTCCTTTCCTCCTCTCACACGCCTCCATACTTTCACTTAGTAGAAGCCCGTATTATCCCTGGCATACCTCACGCGATTTCAGTCCACGCGCGATCTGGCAATCTGCATTTCTTCAAATCAAACACCTGCAAACTACATATCCACATTATGTACAACTTTTGCAATTCTATAAAGTGCCCCATTCTTCTGTTCAGTCAGAATGCGCTCAGGATGAGTTAGGAAGAGTAACAGTTGTATTGCCAAATCACGTCGCGGCTGAGATCGCGTGAAGTATATCCGGGCCTCAAAATGCAGCAAATTGATTTATCAAGATTCCTTTCTACATCATTTTCTGAGCCTATGTCTCTACGATTTCTTCTTTCGGAATTGAGCTCTGTAACGCGAGCACTCCACAACCTTAAGTTCTATTGCGAATTTCTTTTTTTACGGAAAGGGCTTAAAGAAGGGGTCGAATGGTGGTTCACCCGCTGGGATTGCTTTTCTTTCCGGGAGCAGAACCAGTTCTACCCTACCTTACACCCACACACATCCAGTCAACCACCTATTTGGGTTGCTGTGTTGCTCACGGTGCGCATACATACGAACTGTTTACACAGGAGAATACTCTACCCTTGGGTTCATTCCTAATGTTTTGACTGGCATTGGTATGTGTGCTCAATTTTCAATTTTTTCGTTAAAGCTTCTGTCATTAATACTGCTAATAGGCCTCATACAACAAAGGCCGAAATTTTGGAGCCATCGTTCACATTTCGAAATTGACTAATTATATCTTTGGACAAAATAGCAAAAATATCTCACTCATTTTTGCTTGATACCTGGCTTCAATCTAATACCAATATCATATAATATAAGGCCGTAAAAGGATATTTGACAATGAATGGTTTTATGCTCAGTTTGATAGACCAATTTTGTTTTTTTGTGGATCTCGATTCTATTGTGCGGTTATATTGGACTCCAGTTTACTAACGCGCAAATCGTGACCACTGAAAAACAACCATTCATTTTCCAGTATTGCAGAGGAAATTTACGCAATGTTATAGGACTGATATTTTTGGAATGTGGAAAATTATTTTTTGGAACAACAACAAAAAATTAGCACAAATTTCAGCGCCTGCCTGGATACTCAACTCTGTTGTCCCCAATTTTGTCACCGTTTTGATTTTATTTCTTTTTCTCCTTTTGAGTCTTTTTCTTCACTTTATAGCAATTACATCTTTATATTCTGATGCATGACATGTATCTCTATCTCGTTGGCATTTTATGCACTGCATTGGCGACATCGCTGTCACTTCCCATCAATGCGAAAAAAATTCCGCTGCTGTGATATTTTTGTATTTTGTGTATTTTCGCATCATCCATTGCTCACTTGGACAAGCTACTCCTTCACCTTTCTTTGACTAGTCTCCTCTATTGAGAAATGTGCAATTTCCACTATAGTGTGTTACGTGAAGAGCATAAAAGCATTCGCTAATGCATTCCGCGTGGCTGTTCTTTCTACGAGAGCGTAGTGGTAGAAAATTTTCGCCAGCATAGCGTAATGATCGTGAACAGTTGTTTCTCGTCTCTCTGGTTTTTCATAGTTCATCTCATTTATTGATTGCAAGCGAGTAGTAATTTTTTCATGCAAACAAGAAAAACACCATAAAAAGAGAAGTGCATTAGCAAAGCTCGGAAGTGTCTGCAAAACTTGTTTTGCGTGATCGTAGTCACAATTACAATGGAAGTTGGATGGGAAGTTGGGATAGCAGCGGGTGGGAGAAGGGGGGGGGGAAGAAGGAGTGGTCCTTAAAGGCGCGTCCACCCAGATTCTAAACTTCCACGTTTTGGTCATTTCGGGCATTCTCATGTCCCTGTTTCTGAATATGAAGTAGAGAATCCGCAAAAACCCCGACAATTTCCGTTCCGGGGGACCACAGGCCAGTTCTCCAAAATGATAATTGGATGGGCGGGCATTACTGGAGCGGGCGGTTCCGACTAGGGATCTTCATGCATCTTAGTTATTTCGGAGCGATTTTCTCGTTTCCCGAAGAAACATCTTGCGCCGCAACTTGGGCAGGGGCTCTAGGGATAGGAGGTCCTACTATCGCAAGCTACCAAAAGCTCAAGACTCCTACCTTAGAGTGGACGGTACCTTTAAGGAGTTTTTGGAAGTGGTCCGCAAGTGCAAAACTACGAAACTCAAGAATCGTTCCACTCTTAAGAAATCAGAATAATTTTTGCTCAATTTCTTCTTTGCCACGACAGGTTTTTATAGCAACAATTTATTGTGCTGCCTAACGTTTCGGCGGATACGCAAAATTATTGTTACGCTGTTATTATTATTTAGTTATTACGCTGCAATTTATTTATACAGCACAATAAATTGTTGCTATAAAAACCTGTCGTGGCAAAGAAGAAATTGAGCAATATTCAACATTATGCCAAGGTTTAAAGAAAGGAGAACTTTTGAGAATAATTTTTATTTTTCGCAGAAATTGAAGGCATCTCACAAGGGAACCGTGTCGAGTCGAAGTGGCCTTTCCAGGTGAGTCCCACACTGCTTTGAAGAGCATTAATCGATGATTCCAAATCTGCTTTCCAAATCTGCCAAGCGCCTCTGGACGCCGAGTTATGCTCGTTTTTCGGGTCAAAAAATTGAACGCAAAACTGAAGCAAAATCGCCCAAATTTGCTCAAATGGTCCAGTGTCAAGTATCAGAGTTGTTTATGCAATGGATACATTTTATTTAATATGCTAATACTTAACATTGCTTTATCTGAGCGCTGGAAAGATTGTAACAATCAATTTTACCTAAATTCTGCATTCATTTTTCCTTCCGAAGAACGGTCATAACTCGGGGTCCAGAGGCGCTTGGCAGATTTGGAAGGCAGATTTGGAATCAACGTTTAATACTCTTTGAAGCTGTATGGGTCTCATCTGGAAAGGCCGCTTCGACTCGACACGGTTCCCTTGTCAGTAGTTTCATTTTTTTTTAGTTTCAGTTTTTAAGTTTCATCCCTTAGGCTCTTTACTTTGCTGAAAATACGTGAAGCCTCAAAAATTTCGAAAATTCGTTGAGATGGAGCCATGATCAATTGACCAACTCTGTATGTACGCACATAATTCATTTTCCTAATTTTTTCACAAATTCTTCAAGGTTACACGAGCAAATAATGTTCAGCAATATATTTTGTTTTTTTTTTCTGACGCTAAGAGCATCCACTTTATGTTGTTGTAGACGATGGGAAATCTACATACACATCAACTTTTTAGTAAACATTTCCCCATTATTACAGTAGTCTCATTTATGTTTTACACAGGTTTGCCATTACATTCTGCTGCACAGCTGGATGTCATTTGATAAGCAAACGATGAGATCTGAGTATTGAATAACTGAAATTTGATTTTGGTGGATCTAGTCACACAAATCAAAACTGATAATGATTGCTGCTTCACAAATCCATAAGAAGAGTTTGTGCCCTAGCATAAGAAAATTTCTATCTATCCGTTGATAAAGTGAGATGCTGATGGCAATAGCGGAGTATAAATTATCTGTAGAAGATGGCATAAATTATTTTCGATAGTGTGATAGCGTAAAAAACGATAATTGCGCATTCTACTGACACACAACGCTAGGATAACAAAAAAAACTAGTCGTACCTTCTATTTAGAAGTTTTTCTCCCAAGAGTAGCAACACGCCACTCTGACTATCTCGTATCTCGTTCATTAATCACGCAATTTCTGTCGCCGACATAATTATTTTAATTTTGTTATGTTGCGTCACGCAGGCAGTGTAATGATTTAGAGAATGTTCAATCGATTTGCACTTTTTCTGCATGTCATAAATGTCTTGTTCTATAAAAGAAATTCACTAACATAACCTCTATGTTCAAATTCTAATAACCTGAGAAATCTTATGCTGATTTCTTAGCATATGTTCGTATTTATCCAAAACGTTCTGTGGTATATGAATTTCTTGTTTATGATCTCTTGGCTGCACATGTGTTGTAGATTAGCTTTTGTTTTTTGAATGTCAAGAATTGCAGCTCCTCTGCCAGCCGAATGCTCACTAATAAACAATTATATAAACAAAAAAAGATTTTCTCAGTCGTTATACCAGACATCCACTTCACAGCACCTATAGTCAATCTCCTCCTCAGCTCCAGCTCCAAGTTCCCACGGCCATCAAAATTTCAGTCCTTCAGACGCGCTTCACTAAGCGACAGCTCTTCATGAAAAAGCTTGCAGTATTCCTGGGAACTGGACAAAGCATGCATTTTCCATGCTTTTGTTCTCGGCATGCATCATCCGGAAACAAAATCTCGCGTCCGTTGCACTTTGCAACTGTACACTTTAGAACTGAGTATTTTTGACGTCTTACTTCGCTGCTCTCATTCTTCCTGACACATGTACTCCCTCTGATGTCGGTAACTTTTACCATATCTAGCTTCCTGCATAATTTGTATTTTTTCCTGTCCTAGCACATTGTAAAACCACTGATGGCTTTCAGTCGTTTTTCATGGCACTTAGCCATCGGAACTGTCTCTGAGAACAGGAAGTCAACCATTGCTTGACTAGTGTTCTTTCGTATTTCTTCATTCACATCGTCTCATCGCACTAGAACAGCTGCCGATCAAGCACACTCTTCAGGTTTTTACTCCCAGGCACTTCGCAGAACAAAACGCGAAATGGCCAAAACCGGTGTGCCATGTTCCAGCCTCAAGGTGGGTGATCTGGCCTCATCAATGCTCAGAGTGAGTGTATATCAGGGCTCTCAAAGGATTGGAATCATTCGATTCAAAAGAAAAACCTGAGAGACCAGATGTAAAAAGAAGATGAGACTATATGGTTCTAGAACATTTTCATTCCCCCTTTGATTTGACGTGACTACCTAGCAACAAATTGCCTTTGATGCAAAGGAGTCCTTGTTAATTTATAGATTTGGGAAGGGAATTTTTTTGAAATGCCGCGGGGTTACGATGGTCCCGGTCATCAGTGAAGGCTTATGAATTCATTTCGGTAATAGTTTGCATATGGAAAATTTGCATGAAGAAGCATTTCGTGATCTGGAAGTGTGGTATGTATAAATAAACTGTTGTGCATGTAAAAAGAAAATGTATATGCATAACAGAAAACTGACGATGATATAAGTTGAAAGTTCTGTCGTGTTATTTTCAAGAACTTAACGTAACTTCTTGCTTTCTGGACACATTTGCTTCGCTACATTTTGACTTGTATTAGGTTGTCCGGAAATTAATGCCCGTTTTGAATTTCAACCGCAATGAGTCATACAGTTCTCACTTCTAAATAGGTTGCAGAGTACCATTCGGTAGAGCAAAGCAAGCTCTACAAGATGTCTTTCTTGCTTTTGCAACAGCTCTTATCCACCTCGAGTTTTAAGGTGAAAAGTAAAAAGACTCAGCTGCCCGAAAAATCGAGAAAAATCGTAACTCAGTTCATAAAAATCCTACAAAAATTTTAACTTGCTTACGTAAACACTTTCCACATAAGACATCTATTAGGTCGTTCCGAAAGTAATTTCGCTTTTTTCAAACGGGCGCCAGATTTGATAGAGCAAAGGTTTTTAAGAGATCTTGGATGCATTCGATGCAGAATTTCATTCTCTTTCTAAGTACTATGAAACTATTGCAAAACAATCAATGAGCTTCCAGAAAATAACCAAAATTTGCGACCCATGCTTTTTGAGATGGTCAAGTTTCACGATTTTTTAAAACTTTCATATCAATCCTCAGAAGGAGTTCAAGTAACGATTCGATAGAGTAAACCTCATAGAATACAGTGCAACCTTTTTCTCCTTTCCATAGCTAGTCATACATTTTTAAAAGAATTTTAACTGATGCTACCGATTTCCATACTTGGACAGCCAAATCCTAGTAGAACATCAAACCTTGAGCAGCTCGGGTGTCGATCGATGCAGCTTTTTCTCCTCTTTCTGATGGGTGTTTTTTGTTTCCGATTCGTTTAGTTTCTGGGGATAAAATCATCATAACTCATTTTTTAGGGAGCCCCAGGCTGTACCCGAAAAACTCGAAATTTGATATTTCGAACCCGTAAACCCTCACTTGCTTTGTAAAATTAAGGCTAACTCATAGTACCATCTTGGTAGTCTCAAATTCCGAAAAATTATGATGTTTGATGCGATTGTGGTTAAAGTGGGCCTGCCAAAATTTGATGGTTCTGCCAAAAAATCATTTAAAAAATTACGGCGAGCTACGAGAAAGAGAAAAAGGTTGCACTGTATTCTATGAGGTTTACTCTATCGAATCGTTACTTGAACTCCTTCTGAGGATTGATATGAAAGTTTTAAAAAATCGTGAAACTTGACCATCTCAAAAAGCATGGGTCGCAAATTTTGGTTATTTTCTGGAAGCTCATTGATTGTTTTGCAATAGTTTCATAATATTTAGAAAGAGAATGAAATTCTGCATCGAATGCATCCAAGATCTCTCAAAAACCTTAGCTCTATCAAATCTGGCGCCCGTTTGAAAAAAGCAAAATTACTTCCGGAACGATCTAATATATACGCCGTTGCCGTCTTTTTTCACCTTTTAGAAATCAAGAGAACGAAATTTTGCATGCATTTGCCAAAGTGATGCTGTGTTGTCCCCACATAAGTACCACAAGCCTGTAGAAGTACAGACTTAAATTTTCAGCTCTCTACAAGCTTTAGTTCTCAAAAAATACCGAGTAGAGCTTTTCCTAGTTAGGTGGTCCAAGCAAAAATTCTCAAGAACTAAAGCCTGTAGAGAGCTGAGAGTTTACGTTTACACTTCTACAGGTTTGTAGTTAACAACTAGTACCTATGTGAGGACGGCACAGCATCACTTTGGCAAATGCACGGAAATTTCCGTTTTTCCGATTTCTAACAGAGGATAAAATACGGCAAAAGCATACATAGATGTTTTATGTGATAGTGTTTACGTGAGCAAGTAAGAATTTTTCTAGGATTTTTATGGAGTGAGTTACGATTTTATTCGATTTTTCGGGCTGCTGAGTCTTTCTAGTTTTTGGCTCAAAACTCGAGGTGGATATGAGCTGTTGAAAAGCAAGATAGGCTTTTTATAGAGCTTGCTTTGCTCTATCGAATGGTACTTTGCAACCTATTTAGAAATGAGAAGTGTATGACTTATTGCGGTTGAAATTCAAAACGGGCATGAATTTCCGGACAACCTAATAGTTTATCTTAGCGAGTTTTTTCCCGAACCTGCTGCAGAGATAAAAGTGGATGAAGAAGATCCTTCAAGCTTCAATCATTTTGAGCTGGACCGCCAAATTCTGAAACGATGCAGAAAAACCCGAAACTGTCAGTATTTAAGTTTTATGATCTACTTTTTGGAAATGTAAAAAGTTTGTGCTGTTCTCTGTAAAAATATGAATTTCGAGTTTACTACAGAAATTGCCAAAATCAATCACTTTGTCTCTTTTCGAATATTATAACTTCTCACTGAGACGTCAGAATAGCACGAACTTTTTAATCGCAAAAAGTAGGTCGAAAAACCTATGTAGTGACCAAATTTTCTGCGACGTTCCAGATTTTTGATGGCCTAACTAAAAATCATCAAAGCTTATATGGTCTTACTCTTCCATTTCTATCTCTGCAATCAGTGTGAAACAGAAGCTCGACAAGACAGTATTCGCGAAAGCTAAAGAATCACTCTTTCCATAAAAAGTAAAGGCAAGCAAATCTGTTGATTGGTCGGCAAAGTTACACATTTTTGCAACGACAGAGCTTTCGGACCGACCCTAGAGAAACTTGGGCTGTCAACCTCTCTTTATTGTTAATTTCTCTTGCCTTTCGTTCAGCAAAACAAAAGACAGAGATCAATAGCAGAAATTACAGAAGGTTGTAGATCGTCTACAGCACATTAAGTTCACCTTGGAAACTAACAAGGGAGGGTCACGAAATCGATGTGGCCGATCATCACAAACTGCATACCATTAGGAAAGTATGGATAGCTGATTTCAAATCTACTTTCCCTGTCTGTGGTGCCTTTCTGAAAAAGAATTTATGAGCAATCTGTGAGCCGAAAAATGAACTAACGGCCGGGATAACATCAATTTCTTCCTAGACTTTAAAAGCAAGAGCGGGTGTCAAGATACTTCGTATCAGGTTGGAAAAAGTATAGCAAATCTATGATTACTACTATGTATCTTCTATTTTAGAGCCTCTTGAGATTTTTTCGCAAAAATTTCGTTTTCGTGGCAAAATTCTTCTCGATTTTGGCTTTAAATTTATATGGATCACGACTTAGATGGTTGGTAATCATTTTGTATTGTAATGCTTGCTTTGCTTTCTGTTGAACAGTGCCCGAAGTCTGTTAGGAAAACAAAAACATTTTGATAAAAAAAAGGGGCTACTTTTGCCTATCATATCAGTACTTTCTATTTCTCCATTTGACGTCTAGTGGCCGCAACAATTGATTATATCCCGGCCAGCTCATCTTTTCGCCTCAAAAATGCTCATAACTTTACTCCCAAAGGCGCTTCGCAGATATGAAAAGCCAATTTGGAGTCAGTTCTAGAAGCTTTCACTAATGGTACGCACTTTGTAGCGATCAACCACTTCGACTTCGTGACCTTCACTTGTAAGCCTATTCCAGAGTCAGATTCTGGATGCAAAACCTCACTAACCCTATCAAAATGTAAACAGGTGTTCTTCCAGATGGCAGGCATAGTGGTGGCCATTGTCGAGATGTTTCTGGTGATTCTCTCCGTTTATGGACTTTTTCGCAACCTTCATCTCTTTGGATCCAGCTATCTGTTCTGGTTTATACTCGGTAATTCATTGTGAGAAAATTATTCCCAAAATATCTTTCCATCTATATTTGTCTACAACAGGTATGTGGTCCGTTCTTGTGATCATTCTCGCGATCGCTCTCATGTTATACGCGATCATGACTGGAAAGGCGCGTTGGCTGATTCCCCATCTGAGTGCTCAGGTCAGTTGTCACTTTTCATTGCGCAGAATAAATCAAAAGTAAGAGCTTTTTTATCGAGCTTATATATGTATATCAGTTTGGCAACTAAGTCTTGCTACGTTTTCAGAATCTTTCTTTTTTGAATATGGCTTGGTCAAATTTCGGCATTACTTTAGATTGTAATGTGACCTACAAAATATGCACAACATTTGATTTCCGTTAACAAGATAAAAAAAACCTAAGCATTTTTGGAAACTGGTAAATTTTGGAGTTTTACAGTTTCAAAGCAAAAAAGGGAACGGACACAATTCAGATCAGGAACCTGGAGCCGAAATTTGGGTCTTATTAGAGTCGCTAAGCTTGTCGAAAAAGAATTGAAATTTTGAGACGCCGGATACTTACTGCAACTCTTATAAGATGGCAAAATTTTGGAGACAGTCTCTGCATTTGTAGCTCGAAAAAGTAGAATGCCTTCATACCGCGAAGGCAGCCGCCTCTGGCAGCCTGTAGCCGCCGTTAGTCGCTTTGTCGCCATCACACCAGTTGACTTAAGAAGTAAAAATCGTGTGTTTTGCTGGAACTTCGTCTAAAGGGATCGAGGATCGACAATCTGATGACGAATGTTACATGTATTTCGCACAGCAGCGCTATCCGTTCGAGCTGATGCAGGATCACTGCGAGGGGTCAAAGTCACAAGCTTGGCCTTGAACTTCGTCTAGAGGAGGGTATTAAGCACGCTGAATTTGAATACCATAGTAATTTCGACGGTAGCGCCACTGTCTCACGTTACGGTAAGTATCCGGTAGGTGGGTCAAGATTGGAATCCGCTCAAAACTTTGCTTCAGAGAATTATTCAGCTGCTAATCAATATCACAATCTTTCTGCGTTCCGAGACCTTTTTGCGGAATTGCATTGGGTATACAGTAGGCGATTAAAGTCTTGGATCTATTTCACTTTCCGCAGATGGGTCCTGACATGCTCACGAATATTGGGCTCATTTTGCATGATAAGATTTTTTGCGAAAATGTGGAGCAAAGGAGCAGACATTTGTGATCTGCATGCTTGGGAGACCTTTCTAGGGAAAGTTTCACACTGACTGTAACCTGTGGGAATGGCGCTACAGTGCAGAGTCATATGATTTTTCCGGATTCAATCTGTCAATGAACCTCCTTAGGCGAACTTTTAGCTTACACAAACTTAATTTCTTGGGGCACCATATGAGATAGCGCTAAAGCTGCTAGTGGCGGCTAACGGCGGCTGTCGCTACATCCAGCTTAGTAAAAATACGGTGATTTAGCGCTTTTATGATAACAAAAGCAGCTAGTGGTGGCTGTCTAAAGGCTGGTAGCGGCGGCTACAGGCTGCCAGCGGCGGTATGAAGGCACCCTAAATCACATTATCGAATCCCCATGTGTAAAAAAAGGTTACAAAAGATGCAAAACCTAGCTATCAACCTAACCCATTTAGTTTCTTACAATGGAAACGCGTCTGATTTGGCTCTTATGTTTAAGCTTAGAAAAATTTGAAAATTACCAAATTTGGTGTTATTTAGAAGGATATTGTTTAATCGAACAAAAAGTGCATTACATAAAAGGACTACTAGGAGAGGAAAACAATGCTTTTGCAGGTCTTCCTAATTCTCTTCCTCATCATCGTTACAATTGTCGTCGCTATCTTGCTTTTATTTGGAGCTTACCGAGGGATTCGCAATCTGCTTGGCGTTTCAAATTACCACATGAGCGATGAATGTAAGTTTCTTATACGTGAAAACGTTTTTGTTGTAGCTCAGAGTTAAGCGTTTGCCAACTCCATCTGATGAGATGTTCATGTAAAAATTCCTTGATCATCCACCTAGTACAGCTTGTTGTCACTAGAACCTGCATTCTTCTAAACGTGAAAGAATCAAGTACTCAGTAGTTTTTTCATGAAAGTAACAATAAAAGAACTGTCTTTATACCGTTTTCGAAATAAAAAGTATCTAATGCATTATGAGAACCACCAAAACTAGGTAAAAGAATCTTGTAAAACGCAGTTTACAGGCCCAGCAATAATGAAAAAAGAGATTAACAATAAGATTTCGTATCAACAACAGTGATTATTCAAATCTTGTTTTCAGCAACATTTTATCTGGGAATCATGATCCTCGTCATTTATCCACTCGTAGCTTTGCTCGAATTCTTCTTCCTCTTGATCGTTTGGAAACTGTACAAGTGAGTTTACACTCAATTCGTCCATCAGTTTTTCGCCAAAGTCCCTTTTCTATACTCTATTGTAGTATTTTCCATGCCTAATTTTGGTCAAGCAGGTTGTGTCCGATCCGGCTCAATATTCTTACGATATTTGAGAAGTGACATTTTGTGCAAACAACAGCAAGATTCTTGCAATTTCCAACATTCTTCAACGTTTGTGTGGAAAAAGAAGCTATTAAACTTAAAATTCACGTGGAAGCAAACAAAGTAGACAAGAATACAGTTTAATATAAAAATTGACACAAAGTTCCTTTGGGGTTGCCGTACGTAAGCGTATATTCCTAGTCACACCCTTTCGAAATTATTCTAAATTACCCCTACTTAGCGGTTTCCCGCGTCCATATGTTTTTGCAGGACCTTGCACCGTTTTAAATCGCTTAAAAGCCCGTTCAAAAAGAGCCCCTCTCACAGATGTCATTAAGTGTTATTAGCAACAGATTTATGTAAAATACAGCTTCACCTTGTTTTTGTCTTTTGATATGGCAAATTACCGGTAGGAGACTACAATCTCAGACAATCGACGGGACCCCTCCGCCGGACCCTCCGAAACTGCCAGAGTCGCGCCGGACCCAGTTGACCAATGAGAGAAGGGCAAATGGGTGGTCCATCGCGGTGACATCACTGGCAGGCAAATGGGAGGCTTCTCCGGCCCTGCTGCAAAGGTCCGCCATTTCTCCGGCGCGACTCTGCCAGATTTGGCGGACTCCGCGCCGGAGAAATTTGCGCGGCGCGCGTCCGCCAAATTTGGAAGAGCCGCGCCGGAGAAAATGGGAGGGGTCCGGAGCAGAAATGGGAGGCCTCCGGAGCAGAAAATGGGAGGTATCCGGAGCAGAAAATGGGAGGTATCCGGAGCAGAAATGGGAGGTATCCGGAGCAGAAATGGGAGGTCTCCGCCGGAGAAATGGGAGGGCTCCGCCGGACAAATGGGAGACCCACCGCTGGGGAAACGCCGCGACCCTGCCATTTCTCCGGCGGAGGGGTCCTATCCGCTGTCTGAGATGGACTCAAGTTTCTCAGCATCGAATGCTTGTAGCAGTCTCTATTCTTTGAACAGAACAATGTCAGCGTGCTTTCAAGGAAGGTACAGTCTGCTCCCATCGAGATCAGGTCGAACCGTCGGCCTGAATTTGCGGCCCCTGGTTGCGATAGTGACAGACTGTATTTTCAACCCAGAAGAAAAAGAGAAGAAATACGAAAATAGCAAAACCTGTCGCAAAAACTTTTTCGGAAACTTACGTAGACCAAGTGTTTTCTACTTTCGATTTTGTAAAAAAACAAGAAAAATACAGGAAAGAAAAAGCTTCTTCGGAAACATGCCGATGTATATTTCATATGCTTTATATGAGAGAGCAGTCAACACACAACCAACGACTTTTAGGCATTTCCGAGACTACAGCAGCATTGGACACTATTCTGATGACAAAAATGTGCAGTGGACAACGGTTGGACCTCCACCTAAGGTAAGTCAGAAAGAACAAAGTGTACAGCGAGACTATCTCAACCACAGGATAATGCCCATGGATCTCCTACAATGGGTGACGTCTACCCATATGGGCAGCAAACAGACCAAGCAAACATGTTGTAAATAGGAAGAGAAAAACGTACCAGTGCAAAACAGATTTCTAGAAAGCCATCAAGATGTTCCTTATTTGCTGCATATATATTTTGCTCGACTGCCAACGACGATCACATTTCTCGCATGATGCTCGACTTTTTTGTTCATTTGTATATTTTTTTTGAATTTTCATCATAATGGAAGTTTCCGTCATTTGTATTATAATTTTCGCTCTTTTTTTGAATGTAATTCATTTGTATAAATGAGAATGCCATAGATTCGTACTCTTAACTTCCGATTCTGAGGCAAAATCTGTTTCGCTCTTCTGCAACAAACGCAGTAGAAGAAGAATGAGGATTCGTCAACTCATTATACATGCGAACTCGTGAACTCCAAGCATAGCACAATGCCACATGAGAGCCTAACATAATATCATGGTCCATTAGAGCGTGACTGCTTACAGCTGTCACATCGACAAAAAATGACCAGGAATCACGTATTAGCACCTGATGAAAGGAGCTGTAAGCTATAATACGACAACTGTGCAACACAAAAACACTATCCTCGCTTGTAATTATCCGAATTGATGTAGAGTAATTCCCAAATACAGCACCCGATGAGGTCCGCAACATCAAACTTTGCACTACGCAGAAGAGGTGATGGCAAGTGGCAAAAACTTACAATAAAGTCAGAAAATGTCCACCTCTCATCAGCGTTTTGCTTTTATCGGCCCGATGTATGAGTGTGGCCCGTCAGAGATCAGCAGTTGAAGAGCTCAAAGATTTTTAATGGATCATTCGTGTTTTGAATTTCGCACATTTTCTTGAAAAGATCTGGAAGCCCTTTCATGAGCTTCAAGCAGGCAAAAATCGTAAAAGAATGAAATCGCTTACGACCATGTCGTCAGAACCTTCATCATTATATGAATTACTCTTATAATTCTACCACAGCTTTTTGAGCACTAACCAGCTTGAAATAGTTGATAAGCCTTCCTAGTTTTTGCTCACTGTTGTGATCCAGCGGACCTTCGTCATATAAAAAGACACAAAAACTCCAAAATTTAACTCTATTAATGCAGGTTCATAGCAGCGGCGATCCCAGGATTTCAATCCGGGGGAAGGGTGGCAAAAAAAATTTTTCAAATGAAGGTGCGTGGCGCTGGCGCACTCCAAAAAATTTTTGAGGTGCTTCTCAAAATCTTTGCGAGGCCATCACCCCCTAGAGGAAGCGTGCCTGTCGCCACCCCCGAAAAAATTTTTCAGAGCTAATTTGGATTTTTGAGAACTCTCAAAAATTATTTCAATTATTTATAAGAATAGAAAGTCATTTGTACATTTTTATAACAGATGTAATTAGGTTTCAAAAATTTCGCGACCCATTCTGGGGGGGGGGGGTATAGGCTCATTTGTTATTATCTAGAAAGCAGCGGTACCTAACTGAGTGTTCGTCCGTCCTTTGACGTATGAAGCATCAACTTTCAAATAATGAAGGGGCTCTGACTGTGGCACAGCCCAGCGGCAGCGCAGATATTCAGTCTAAAGCCAGCTAAGAAAATCGTTTCTAAATTAGTCTTTCCTCCGCATTCGGTCTTCGCTCGACGTTAAGCCCTGTTGCAAATGTTGCTTATCAATAAGACAATTGAAGCTGTGACATAAGGTATCAGCTTAATCTGCACAATCGCGAAAAAATTTAAGCTTAACATATAAATTTTATATTAAGCTGCTGCTTAAGTTCTGTCCGATTTGAATTTTTTGATTTCAAAATGTCATAACTTCTTTCAGAGTCAACTTTTTTGAAATATCTTAGTTTCTATGTGTTAACCAGTTCATTGGCTATCAGGCACATATTGAAGCATGCGAAAATCCTTGTTAAGAAAGAAGCAAGAACTCAAAAACTTCGCAGCGTTTTTCTTCAAACCTGTTTTTTTGTCATGACAATGCTTCCCTATGAGAACTGATAGGCATCTTTTCTAATGATGGATAGATAGAGGAATTTTTGTAGATTATTTTGCAGCATAGAGGAGCCCATAGAGTCTGGGTTGCCGAGAGATTTTTTTGATCGAGCAAAAAAGAAGCCACTTTTTGACCTCGCTTTAGCGCACGTGTGCATGCCTATTTACGAATTGTGAAAATTTTACAATTGACGCGAGCGCTGAAAGGGAATTGGTGGATGGGCCCTGCTAACTCTTGCTTCACCCTAACACCTTCAGCTTTGAACTCATCGATTACTTCTATTCGCAGAAAGTTATTGCTTGTAAAACACCTATACAAGAGATCAATGTTCGACGATAAATTTCACCAAGAAGATGTTTTCTTCATGGAAGTGAGCTTCTGCATGTACTAGCCTGTTACACCCTCATTCCGAAACCACTGGAAGAACTTGACTTGAAGGGCGTATTGTGGAGATTTCCTCGCAAGAACATATTTCCAGGGGAGGACGTACCTCGCCACTTGGATATTTTAGGTCTGAAATCTCCTTACACTGAGAAATTTATTGAATTTTGATATGCCTTAGAAAGCGCAAGAAAGGCACTTTCAAAAGTGCGGTACTAACAGTACCGCATTAGAAATGAAATTCTCCCAGAACAGCTGCTTCAAACACAAGGCAAAAAAAATCGGACAGAACTTATGCAGCAACCTAATATATCTGTCATATGTTCGTGAAAACTATGACTCTCTGTTCTTGTTTGAGTGATGACACATCCCCCTAGTTGGGCTTTTGGTTTTTACTACGTCTTTCTCTTTAAATCTTATCATAACAGAAGGCAGACATGAAAGCAAGTTCATCCAGGAAATGTGGATAAAATTTCCAAAAACGAACAAGGCTATTTATTGCAAGACATGCGCTGACTCGTTCCGGACCCTCGATCTGTAAAGTGCTACGATCATTTTTGTAGGTGACTGGTGTTGCAAGAGAGCTGTTTACTTCGGAACTCACGCGCCATTGGCACGTTCTACGTTGTATCCGATTTCATGAGTATAAACCATAAACGAACTTGTCGTGAGTTGGCCGACTGCCATGACTACTACAATCCGAGCGCGATTTTATTGTTGTTGTTTACTTGTTTTCTTCAACCCCATTTCGTCTGCCAGATCGGAAGAGCGTTCGGAAAAAAATGGTACGTACTTTTGTAGCAAGAAATATTCTACCTTTTGAAGCGTTTGATGGGATGTAAAATTGGGATACACAAATCCTGACAGTTGTAAGATTGATGTTCTCTGTACACGATAGTGATTTTGAACTAGCGAGGTGTAATGCATAGTTCAAAGTCTTTATTCTCGATTACTTTCCAAGTGTGTACAACAACTTGAGGGTGTTAAGTGAGGTCTTTGCGGGTGTTAACTTTGAGGGTGTTAACTTTTTAGGGCGTACAACAACACTTCCGCTGCTACAAGAATCAGAAAACCTTCATGTGCTTTTTTCTTGAAGGAAAATGGTAAATCTTGCAACAAATCTTGAAGTGATAGATATGAAGTATGAAGTACAGCATCTTGAATTTGTCATATGAAGGTCTTGACTTGTACAAGAAATAAGCTACTGCATAATTAGCTTTGTCTAAGAATTTAGATCTACAATCCTCATCCTCAAGAAAGAGACGTTTTACTGATACATAGATTCCTCTCTTGTCGCTTGAAAAGTTTTACACTTTTGGTACTGGCTTCCCTCCTGAAGCCAATAATCACTTTTGGCTTCAAGTTGACTTACCATTTCTGGATAACCTTTTAGTTATTGTAAAGCCAGTACTCCAAAGCAAATACGAATAAGAAAGCCAAGCTTGTTCAAAATTGAATTCAGACCTCCCAAATAGTGAAATAGTGAGACTCTGGAATATCTTGTAAAATTGAAGAATCCAGTACATTCCAAGAAGACTCCAGCTATCAAATGACTATCCATCTGTCTGCCATCTAATTTATTTTCAAAAGAAGGAACAAATAGAGCTATGAACTTGCTGAATAAGTAAACGGAAGAGGCAGTACATAGCAGCACACTGGTACTGCTCATTGGTTACAAAGGCGTTTGAGCGAGACTTTTTGAGATAATGTTTATCGCGCTATGTATTTTTGCCTCACTGCTTTGACGCATTATCGTGGGCTTTTCGAAGGGTTTTGGGGACCAAAAGAAAATCAAACAAAACCAAGTGACTCTGACTTTTATAACAAAATTTCGTCGAGTAACGTACGGCTGCGGATAGCTCATTGATGTGCTCGATGCTAATCGCTTTTTTTATCTAATAAAATTTGCACAGTAGGTGAAAAATACGAACTGCGTAAACTTTCTTCTTGAATTAGTCGCCTATCTTAAACACTTTTAAGCAGACAAGATATGTTTTTGCTTCCGATCTTCCATTATTATAATGACAACGGACATTTCCATAACTCACGAAGGAGAGCTCAAACTTTTCCAAAAGCAAGCTATCCAAAAGCTATTTGTTAATTTTTCAAGATTTATTAGGTCGGGCAAAAGTTCTTTTCGTTTTTTGCACCTATCCGCAAATCTCTTGAAGCAAAGACAACAGATACTAAACACTATATAAAGCAGAATCTCTTCCCCTTTCTAACTTCTAATTTCATTTCGCAATTTCATTCAACTAGCAATAAGACAATCGCCCAAGCTTACCCTTTATTACCATTTCGAACTTTTGTTGATTTCCGAATATTTATCCGAGATTTTGAGGGATAACCAGCTAATTGAGCAAACTTTTTGAGAATTGACGCAGCTTTTGTAACTCTCTAGCTTATCTCTTAGGATATAGCTCATCTTTATCTTTTATAATGACCTATTCTTTTATTTGATTCGTGCTAAGCTCTTAAAAATGAACTGGTAAATAGTTCAGGTAACAACCGACGCAACTTTTCCTTCTCAATCTATGGCAATTTTCCCTCGACCTGCAACTTTGCAAACAAAATTGCAGTATCTCTCAATTTTACAAACGCGCACTGCAGTATCCTAGGTACTCAAAATTTTCATATTTCCAAGCTATAATCGTTCATTTGCCTTATTAAGTTAGTGACATCTATAATCGAGTTTTGGAAAGTTAATATCCTACAGATTTTGCGGTGTCTGGTGCAGCTATGTGTTATGCTTTTTCAGAACTTGCGTTTTTACAAAATTGAACAGAAAGATTGTGAGAGAGAAGCTGTAGAAAAAATGCACCATTTAGGAAAAAGTTTGCCCTAACTGCTCGCTATCAAAGATCCTTTAGGTTTTCAATACTCGGAAATGAAAGAAATTCTGCATCAAATACTGTTTAGAGTATATGCATATCTACCAAGATGCCAAGATTCAAAAACGATCGAACATGGGCAATTATTTGCATATCGCTACTCTACGGGATTCGCGAGTAGGTGCAGATAATGAAAAGTTTCTTGCACCGACTAATATGAAAGTTGACTGGTTCTTGCAGTATATGAGCCATGTAAGGCCCCGGACAGACTTCACGCGATTTGATCGTCGCGACTGAATCGCCGACATTTCCATTCATTTTCATTTCACATTCAAAAATTTTGGGCTGGAAAAGTATCACAACCGAAATGCAAGTTGATCGGCATGGAATGATGTTGTAACAGTTGTCTCGTCGCGATTCAGTCGCGACGATCAAATCGCCTGAATTCTGTCCGGGGCCTAAGTGCTTCTTTCGCTACAAAATAGGGTTTCCTTTTACTTGCGCGGATAGCTTCCATTGTGGATTGGTATTAGGCAAGAGCATAAGACAGGTCTTCAAAGTAGCTTCGCTTCAATTATTTGAAAAAGCTGTTGCAAAGCTGTTTACATTACAAGTAATTGAAAGAGGATCTAAATTTTTTGAATTGCATGTTGAGCTACTGAGACAATGTACGTTAAAGAAGTTGTAGTCATACTCAAAGCCAATATTGGTAATGGGGCCTTTAGGAGCGTCCGTACATAGAATTTACCATTTCTGATTATCCAAGGCAGTTTTGGAAAGCTTTGGAAGCAGAGTTTCTTTTAACTACTTGGTCTACGAGTATCTCTTTTGCTTCATCGCACTAGATCAGAACGTGAGTATGCATGTCGGGTTCCTCTTCTTTAACAAATTGAAACAAAGCAGAGAGCCGGCTCATAACGAGCTTTGTTTTTCTAATAGAGACGTGAGGGTGTATACAACTACCGAATGTGTGAACCAAACAAGCGATTTTGACTATTGCGGTAGTGGGCGAAAGTTCACAGCTACATTCCTCTGTTTAAAACGAATCGTAGGGCTGCCTCATGGATAATGCTTAATTGTTGTATTTGTAGCAGTAAAGAGAACAAAGAACTAGCTATTGTAGCATCATCTTCTTATGGTATGTTTTCATACTCTATGGATTCCACGCTGAAATGTAGATATGAAGATTAAAGAAAATTAGGCCCATTTCCGACAGGCCTAAAGTTTCAGATTTTGATGAATCAACAACCTTTAGATTGAGCAGTATGAGGCTACAACATTTAAGCTGCTACTTCCCGTTATTGCTTTCTGCACAAGTGAAGTGAGCACTTTTAGACTGCCCCAAAGGTTGGACACGGTACGACCGTTCGAAAGCATGTTTCGTTGTTCTGCCACAGAGGTTACGTTGGGCTGAAGCAGAGCGAGCTTGCAGTAAAAGTGGAGGAAGACTGGCATCGATTACGGATGAGTACGAAAACGCGTTCGTATTCAGTGGGTCCCTTTTGATTCCAAACAGAATTTTGTGTGCTGAAGATTGAAGAGTCATTTTAGACTTGGCGAAGAAGGCAAATCTCACTACACCAACGATATGGCTTGGACGCCTGGTTCGTCTTGCACGGACCGGCGCTTACGAATGGCATGACGGAGCTATAGGACGCCAAGCAGAGGGCTTCAGAGGTGGTCAGCAAGTCCACAAATGATTTGGAGCCAAGCAGATTAACAGCAGATAACTCAGATAGCTGTGGAACAAAACAATAGACTTCAGTGGCAGAAAAAATTTTTTGGGGGGGGGGGACAAAATTTTCCAGCTGGTGACGTGACGTGGACCACGTTTTTTGAGAAACTTTGAAAACTTCTAGAACTTTTCAATCCGACACTGATAGATTCTATTGTTAATGTCAGCTTGGTAATCAACAAAAGCTCTATTCAGAGCCACCATCGGGAACAGAACTGTGCCTTACGATGTGGTTGGATTTTGACCGACCGGAGGGGTCGTGGAACGAATGGGACTGTGGTTATGCAAGCGGTTACTCTGCTATGTGCAAAAAGAGCCTTAAAAAATCGGCGTTTTCCGTTTCAAGTTAGTTTTTTTCGTAGCATTATGTTTTCGACTGCTACAACGGAAACACTTTTTCAGCACCTCCTACCACCGAACCACCCGGAACACACATTTCTCAGCGTTGCTGCGTTCAGAGTGGATGCGGGCAGCGCTGCTCTTCTAATGAAAGATGTATCCCTGATGATTTGGTATTTTTTACTTCTCCACCAATTTATTCCGAAAGTAATAGTTTTCCTTTAAGAACTGCTGGTGGCGCACTTGCTCGGATAACGGAATGGGATGGTGCCTGCCAGTGCCATAATCTCTCCCAAACCTGCCTCAAACAACTAACTATTGTTGACCTTCCAGTTCGCTATCCATGTCTTCTGCTTCTCAAGCCGCTAGATGGTCGCTCATGTTCTCCTACCCTTGTTAATCTGACAGGATTATACGTTTATTTATGTATAGCTTTAGCATTTTGTAAAGTATCATGCTTCGTAATAAAACTTACCCATATACACTCAAACGATTTACATTGTTCACATCTCTAATACAAAACCGCTCTATTTTTCTCTGTGGACGATGCGAACTTGGTCAAATGTGCGTTCGCAATGAGTTTATAATCAAAATTGCACCGTTCCGAAATTCTTGATATCACGAAAAATTGGTAAGAGATAAAACGAAACGTCTTTATCAGAGACAAAAGCCACCAACCATATCTTGCTACTTGGAGGTTTCATGTGAAAGTACTGGAGTAGGCTGTAGGTCCGCATGCAGGTGCATCTCCGCCTGCGAGGAACTTGCGAAGCAGGGTTAAGGTGATGTCCGACACATGCTCTTCATAATAACTGTACCCTTCCCTAAACGATTCTTCTTTCCTATCCACCTCCAAAACTTCATATCCTGACGATCCGTAAGAAAAATCAGCTTACATAAAAGATTTTTTAACATTTTAGAGTTTTTAATTTACTTGTGAAATTACTATGCGTTGCCAGCATTATGGGGAGAACTTCGCATACAGGCAAAGTTTTTGCAAGCTATTACCCTAAGAAGGCAAAGTTAGAAGAGAAATATCTTTCTACTGTGGTGAGAAAGATTATGCTCATGACCGGGGTCTAGCAACAAAGTGGGCACAATTTTAGTTCCCTCCGAGTTGTGTCCCGATCATAGTTGCGATAGGGGGAGTGATGGATCTTAACCCCTTCACTTTAAGGCCAAACTCCGGATGACCCCCTTCACCTGGGCTGAGATCAGGGCCCGGCACGAGTCGGTTTCTAAGGTTTCTGAAAACGAAGTCGCCCCTGACTTTCGGAAGTAATACGAAGTCCCCTTTAATATATCTGCTTAGGAGAAGATGAAAGCAAGAAAGATTTACTAGTCTGAAGGAAAAGACGTTAGATAAAAGTGAAAATCCAAATTGGAGCTGAATACTACTCGTACACAAGACTTTGGCATTAGAGCGCGATATTTAACAAAGCGAGAAGAAATGAAGACAAAAAACAAAGGAAAGGCAATGGTATGAGAATGTCTTTATGCTCAGGGATAGATTTTTGACTGGGGAATCCGTCCATGCTAAAAAGATCCGAAACTTATGTGAAGTGACTAAAATATATGCTCCAGACGATCTCAGATCGTCTGATGGCCGTCTGAAACGATCTAATTTTGGAAAAGGTATTACTTCACATAAGTTTTCAAATCTTTTTACATAATACTTTCGCAAATAATTTTCTATACATACAGTTCAATTTTGGTATCATATGCTTCTGTGTGTGCTGTAAACAAGCACGTTGTTTATTTGAGCCTTGCTTTCAAATCGCGCGCACTTTTCGCCGTGCACGATAGAGCATGTCAATCGTGTAATAACTTGTCCGAAAAGCTTGTGTTCGACTAAATGGCGCTTATTCTTGGTGCTCGGTTCCGACTCGTCGAAAACGATATCCCCTTTGCTGTTTGCTTCAAAAACGAAGTCCAGCCTGCTTCCAGACGATCTGTGCCGGGCCCTGGCTGAGATTAGTATTGTGCCCTGAGAATATGATTAAAATCGTTATTAAAAGGTTTTGCAGGCTATGTACCTCAAATAACAAGTACACTCGTAGATTCACAAAAGAAACGGTGTTTATGTTTATTCATACTGTTTATTTATTCTTGTAGCATTCATTTGGAAAGCAGAAAGTCAGGACAAAAAATCAGTTGATTCTTGAAGTACATAGAGTCCCTCATATCTCGCGACACAGAAGACCTAGAAAAAAGTCGACGTCGATTCTCCGACCTCTCAGCTTTCGAATGGTATAAAGCATGTTAGGGCTTTTTTGCTTCCCGGCTCTAAAAAGCACTTGCTCCGGTGACCGATAAAAGCCAATACATTGGTGGAGCTGGGTTGGAGCAAGCTAATAGTAAATATCTTCACCCTATTTTCGAAAACTGGTAAGTTTTTTTCCCAGCAACCTAAACGCTACTTCATGACGAAGGCGCAGAAGCATTATCATTTGAGCGGGCGCGAACGCGACGCACGCGTATCCTCACCGTTGTAAACCCTGTGCCTCATGCGCTCTGCGGCTAAAAAAGCCGCGTTCGGCCCGACAAAATTGCGCCTTCGTCATGCAGCAGCCTATATATACTATTCGAAAGCTCAGGAAAAGGGGATTCGACCTAGACCATCGACTGCTTTCTAGCCCCCTCTACCGAGAGATACACCGCATTTTATCTGAAAACATGTCCATTTTCAATAACAGATTCCTGCCAAATGAAGACCTAATTACTGCTGATTATCTATAGTGTGGACCCCGGCCAGGTTCTCATATGTACCTCCGCAGCGCATACGCAGCGCGCGCACTATTGACGCTTCTCATCCCATATGAACGAAAAATCATTTTTCAGACAAGATAGGAGTGAGACAAGAAGTGGAACCCTCTGTTCTCACCTCGAGAAAAGCTTAAGCAGAAAAAAAACGCGTCCACTTCAACGAACACTTGGTTTCTTGTCATTCTCATGCATACTTGTATAAAACTACCACTAACGGGTGAAAATCGTAGAAATAGCGAAAAGAGGATTACTTTTTGAACGACTCTTCTGCAATCATTGAAAAACTAGAAGCATAAGCTGGAGAGCGTAATTATACAAGCTGAAGCTTCAGTGCCGCATTGAAAAGGAACTAAAAGATTTAGGCAAAACAAACTTAATCGGATAGTTCGTTTCTATACAAAACAAATTCGATCGAATAGATACGTTTGATCCGTGATAGAAACCCTGAAGAGAAATCTCTTTAAAATATACTTAATCGTTATTGCGGAGGAAAAAAACGAGAGCTTTTGAGGCAGAAGCTCGAGGCAGAAGCTCTCAAGACTTTTGAGGCTCGTAAAAACTCGTCATCATCAGTTGGTGTGATCCGTTTAACCCTGAAAGAAAGAGATTACAGGAAAAACAAAGTTAATAAAGAGAGGAACGCATAGAAACCAATAGGTCCTGGGGCGAAAAGAGCACTGAAGGCATGCGCTGCGTTCGTGGCGCGGAGGTACATATGGGAAGCTGGCCGGGGTCCACACTATATCTATGTTACAGAACAAGTCTTCATTAACAAGGGTAAACCGTCGACTTTCTTACAGCATTCATTTAAAGAGCAGAAAGTGAAGACAAAAAAATCAGTTGATTTTTGAAGTACGTAAAATCCCTCATATCTCATAACACAGAAGACCTAGAAAAAAGTCGACGTCGATTCTCCATGATCTCAGCTTTCGAATGGTATAAAGCATGTTAGGGCTTTTTTGCTTCCCGGCTTCAAAAAACATTTCCTCCGGTGACCCATGGAAGCCAACACATTGTAAGAGCGAGCTGGAGCAAGCTAATAGTAAAAAATGTGCTGTGGATTGACATCGTTATCAGCACTAACGGGAACGTGAGCGAACGCGTCTATTGACTGGTTATATAAGCAAAAAGATGAAAGACACTTTGATCGACTACCTAAGAAAAAACTAATCTCCATTTTCACTCTTAGTAGAGACCATCCATCATCCTCATCCACGGATCCTGAAAGCAAGCAAATCTTTTTAGTCTTTGTGCGCTTTCCGGATCGAACTACGTTGCATCCCACAACCCACTTCCCTAGAGCGCTCCAACTGTTGGAACCTGAGACGGGTGAATACATTTTCGAGACGATTTACGCGTACTCTCGAAAAACAGGGTTGCTCAAAGAGTTTGTTTGGAATCTTGTCGCGGTAGCCACGGAAGCATCGGTAATGCGTGCACAAGGAGGCATACTCAGTAAGAACTCTCGCAATCTCGTAGAGATATCTTGGCAGCAAGAGCTGCTAGGCAGGAGGAGATAAATGCGGTTTTGGCTTACCCTGTGATATGGGTGCACTGCATGGCACACAAAATTGATCGCTTTAGCTCTCAGATAACCGCCGGGGGCAGGCGGCCATGCGAATTTTGAGCAAGCGCGCACCGGAAAAATAGTTCGTTGATTTTTTGCGGCCCGCTTGCAGAAATTTGGAAGAAAGTTGGCAAAATTAAAGACGAATGCTTGAAGAACAATCGCGGTTTCTTTATGGATTAGCTGCGGCGCAGTGGCCGCATTCTCGCGGACTTTCCGCGAGAATATGCAAAAATTTCGAGGGCCGCACGTTCCTTTGTGGAGGACCGCGCAACCCCCAGGTACTTTCCGCTGAGAGAAAGTACCTCAAACTTGAGTAATTAAACCAACGGTGACACCTCTGCCACACAGAGTCTTACCTGCGCTCGACGTACGCCCGAAAATACCTAAAAAGAGTCAGAGCGCTTGCTGAAAGTTTGGCCAGCGCTCGCTGGAAGATATTATTTGCCGAGCGCTTGCAAAAAATGCTGTATTGCTGCCCGCTGGCAGAATATGCGACCGTAAAGGAAGTGCCGCCCGCTGAAGGTTTGGCCACGCCCCAAATTTCTGCTGACCGCCTGCAGAAAAGCGCGAGTTTGCGGACCGCCTGCCCCGGGCGATTATCTGAGCTGATGCTCAAGCTCAAGCCAGCGAGGCATTTTTGCAATGGAGGGAGTTTGCGACAGCATATCTCAACAAGTTGCGATCTATTTTACAGCTCCATCACGGAGGCGTGTCCTATTAGGAATGGACAAACCTTTATAGAGTGAACGCTTCATCAACTCAGATAGTGGCCGGGGGCAGGCGGCCATGCGATTTATGGGCGGGCGGGCACCGGAAAAATAGTTCGCCGATTTCTTGCGGTCCGCTTGCAGATATGTGGAAGAATTTAAGCGAACTTTTGGACGAATGCTTGGATAACAATCGCGGTTTTCTTATAGATTAGCTGCAGCGCAGTTGCCGCATTCTCGCGGACTTTCCGCGAGAATATGCAAAATTTTCGAGGGCCGCACGGTCCTTTGTGGAGGACCGGGCAGCCCTCAGGTACTTTCCGCTGAGAGAAAGTACCTCAAACTTGAGTAATTCAACCATTGATGACACCTCTGCCACTCAGACAATCGCCGTGG